TGGGGAAGGCTCAGGGACCAAGGGGTACATGCAAACCCAGCACAAGGGTTGCACAGAAGCTGCTCCCTGAGCATCCCCCTTTGGAGCCAGGAGTAGGTCAGGGTAGGGCCAAATCCAGCTGAATTGGAGGCTTAAATTCCCAGGTGGATCTTGCAGGAGGTTTTTTCCTAGTATTGGGTGAAAAAAGAGGCCAAAACATCACTCAGCTTAGAGGCAAAAACCACAGATCCAGGATCCTGGGTCCTCTGCAGGGACTTCACACTGAGGAAAAGGAGGAAGAAAAACAAGGAGTTAAATAAAACATGAAAGGAAAAGAGAGCCAGAGAGAAGGTACATGTAGGGGTGACTGTGGGTAAAATCCTAACCCCAAAGGGTTCAGTTCAGCCAGGAGCAGGGTGCTCAGCACCCACTGCAGCACTGGAGCTGCACCCACCCAGCCCGCAGGGACAGAGCCTGGCAAGGGCCTGTGCTGGGGGCACCAGCACTTCCACACCCAGCACAGAGCCCTGCTGCCTGGGTAGGAACATCAGAACTCCAATACCTCTCTCAGGGCCTTTTCTGGGAGGGAACAGCCCTTTCTGGGGGAGCAGAGTGAGGCTGAGCCAGAGCTGGAGCTCTGGGGTGCTGCTGCCTGGGTGCAGAGCATGGCACACCTGGGGTGCCCAGGGAGGCTTGGGGGGTATTTACTGGCATTTCTGCTGCTGCACAAACCCCAGGTGTGACCCCCCGGGGGGCAGGAGGGGAGCCAGGCTGGCACTGGGGTGGCAGGGAGCTCAGCAGGTCAGAACTGGGGGGACCAGCATCACCGTGTGGGGGTTTCTGGAAGGGGCATCAGAAGATAAAGGGCCAGAACAGCCCATCCATCCCAGGGGCAATGGGGGGGCTGGGGGGAAAAGGCAATTGCAAAGGGACTAGGAAATGTGGGTGTTTTCCCAGTACAGCCTGGCTGAGTCAGACTGGGAGGGCTGGGAAAGTGGGACATCAGAGTGGACCCCAGCCTGGTGAGCTGGAGCTGTGGGGCAGAGCTGGGGGGGAGCCCAGGACTGGGATCTGGGGGCACTGCCAGGGAACAGCAGCAGGGAAGGGGGTTTTGGGGGTGCAGGGGGAGAAGAACGAGAGAGCAGCACAGGAGCAGTGGCTCAGAGCAGAGGGCAGGGA